AATGCCTTTTTTAAAAAGTATACATTTTTATTGATTTCAGAGAGGGAGAGGGGGAGAGATAGAAACATCAGTGATGAGAGAGAATCATTAATTGGCTGCCTCCTGCACACCCCACCCTGGGGTCTGAGCCCACAATGTAGGCATGTGCCCTGATTGGGAATCGAACCATTGCCGGGAACCTGGAACCAGGAACCAGGAACAGGGAACCAAAACCTAGCATTGTCATTGGAGATAAAATGTAAAAAGAGAGAGATCCAAGATGGCTGCGCCCAGGTGAACACCTAGCCGCAGCCGCACACAACAATTTCAATAAATTACAACTAAAATATAAAACGGACATTGCCCAGAATTACAGGAAGGTTGACTGACTGGAAATTCTACAGCGAGAAGCAAGGAGAAAACCAGAAGGAGGCGCGGAGGAGCTGGAAAAGCCCAAGGTACGGAGACACGCGGCGCTCGTGGAGAGGACGGAGCCGGAGAGGAGGGAGGCCGAGTGCCTGGCGGGCGTACTCTAGCGGAGAGGAGATAAAACTCCGACTGTGCTGGGCCCCTGACTGCTCTGAACCCCAGTTCCAGGCCAGACCCCGGGGACTCAGGCTCAGCCATAGGGAGCCGGGCTGTAAGGCGGAACCCAGGGGAGAGGCGAAAGGAGGTCCCGGAGGCACGCACACTGCGCGCAGAGAAGGGACGGTCGGCTGTGCCGCGGGATTGCCCTGACGAGAAGGAGACCTGGGCTCCAGACTGCTCTGAACGCCACCTCCAACTCCACTTCCAATTGAACTGAACCCCAATACCGGGCTCATTGGGGGAGAGCATAGACTGTTTGGCAGCAGGCGAAAATCAAGGGCACCTTTCTCTCAGAGGCGCCGGCAGCAAGCACTGAAGGACCTGCATAGGGCGGGGCTGACGGAAGCCAAAGCTGCAGGCTCCACCCTGAAATCCCGTCCCATCTGTAACTGCGAAATGCGACAACAAAATAGATCACAAACAAAAGAAATGGAGGACAAAAAGCGTCTGGATATAGAGTTCAAATCTACGCTTATAAGGTTTTTCAAGAATTTCCTAGAAAAGATGGACAAGGCCTATGAGGATATGAAAAGAGATCAACTAGAATTAATAAGGAGTCAACAAGAAATGATAAGGGATCAACAAGAAATAAAGAATACATTGTCTGAAATAAAAAATATTTTACAGAGTCCTAAAAACAGAAGGGAAGATTGCAAGAATCAAGTCAAAGATTTGGAACATATAGAGCCAGAAGACACTCCTCCACAGAAGCTAGAAGGCAAGAGAATCCAGAAAATTGAAGATAATGTAAGAAACCTCTGGGACAACTTCAAGCGAACCAACATCAGAATTATGGGGGTCCCAGAAGATGAGAGAGAGCAAGATATCGAAAACATACTGAAAGAAATAGTGACAGAAAACTTCCCCCACCTGGTGAAAGAATTAGACTTGCAAGTCCAGGAAGCACACAGAACTCCAAACAAAAGGAATCCAAAGAGGACCACACCGAGACACATCATTATTAAAATTCCAAGAGCAAAAGACAAAGAGAGAATATTAAAAGAAGCAAGAGCAAAGAAGGTAGTAACCTACAAAGGAGCACCTATACGATTGTCAGCTGACTTCTCAACAGAAACCATGCAGGCCAGAAGGGAATGGCAAGAAATATTCAAGGTGATGAATAGCAAAAACCTACAGCCAAAAATAATCTACCCAGCAAAGCTATCACTCAGAATCGAAGGCCAGATAAAGAGCTTCACTAATAAAAAAAAGCTAAAGGAGTTCATCACCACCAAACCAGAATTATATGAATTGCTGAAGGGGGTTCTTTCAGAAGAGAAAGTAAACAAAGATAAAAATTATGAACAACAAATATGTAACTATCAACAAGTGAATATAAAAACCAAGGAAATTTTAAAAATCTGATGAACAATATTAACCGTTGAATATAATAGAATCAGAGATTTCTTCCTAAGAAAAATAATATTTCAACTGTGGTTTTGCTCATACACATATACACAAAGCAACTTAGAAGAAATGCTGTTCCTCCAAAGGGCAGAGGGTGAAATAGGATGAAAGCCATAATGTGATTATTCACCAGAAGCAATTATCCTTATCTGGGATGACAGCTGAAGCAAGTCACCTCACATTGCCCCTTACCTGGACTAGCTTAGTGCGGGGCGGGGCCGGGGGGGGGGGGAAGGCACCACCATATATAATTGTATAGAACTTTATAACAAAGAATAAAGGCAAAGAGTACTATTAAAAAAAAAAATGTAAAAAGAGCTATGCGACCTTGATGGCTCTGAATGGTCAGAGGCATTAACTCTTTGTATAGTTGAGATAGTGGTGCTTGAGGCAACTTTAATCTGTTAATCATATGTAAATGTAAGTTGATTTTCTGCTGTTAGAACTTCCTCCTTAAGAGATATCTTTGTTTCAGAATCTCAATAAAAGGAATGGTAAAAAGCCAGAGAGCGGTTAGTCTTCCCACTAGAGGTAGACTTCCTGCCTGGCCCCCATTTTCCCAAATTAACTCTTTTCCAGTCTCTCTCTTCATTTTAGTGTGCGGCCTTCTCCAGAAACCGGACCCTGAGTGGGCCCTGAACCACGCGGGTCGTGTTAAGGGATCCCACAAACCATGACCTGGTTCATAGGTCAATGTTCAACCACTGAGCCACGCTAGCTGGGCGCAAACAACCTTAATTCAATATCTGCTTTTAGGGAACCACACTGTCTTAGTCAGTTTGGGCTGCTAGAACAAATGACCATAGATGAGGTGGTTTATGCAACTAACATTTATTTCTCACAGTTCTGGAGTAAGCAGATCTGGTTGTGGTGACCGCCCACTTCCAGGTGTCATGCAGCAGCTTCGCATTGCATTCTCACCTTGTGGAGAGCAGAGGGAAGAAGCAAGTTCTCCTGATTCTCTTCTCATGAGGGATCCTCCCTCTGGACTTACTTACTTCCCAAAGGTCCCACCTCCAAACACAATGGCTTTGAGGGTTAGGATTTTAACATATGAATTCATTTTGGGGGGGAGGAAGGGAAGCACAAAATATAGTCCATAGCAGCTATCTAAGAAAAATGGAAGAGAATCAAGCATTAAGCTTACATTTTCTGAATGGGTTATATGTCAAGGTAGCAAAATAGTTGATGAGAGAAATTCTTCTTTTTATTTTATTTTATTTTTTAAAAATATATTTTATTGATTTTTTACAGAGAGGAAGGGAGAGGGATAGAGCGCTAGAAACATCGATGAGAGAGAAACATCAACCACTGCCTCCTGCACTGCCCCCACTGGAGATGTGCCTGCAACCTAGGTACATGCCCTTGACCGGAATCGAACCCGGGACCTTCCAGTCCACAGGCCGATGCTCTATCCACTGAGCCAAACCGGTTCTGGTGAAATTCTCCTTTTTAGATGATTATAGAGTACAGCTAAAAAGTGAAGGAGGGATGACAACATTGAACATCTCCATTTTGTACTCCTAATGAAATAATGGCTCTCGACAATGATCATCAGTAGGTATTACATAAAAAGCTAATGGGGGTGCGTTGAATAGTAGCCACAAAAAGATATGTCCACATCCAAACCCCTGAAACGTGTAAATGTTAACTTGTTTTTAAAAGGGTCTTTGTGGATGTACAATAATTCATTACATGAATTCATTTCCTAAATTCAGTTAATGGTTTTGAGATAAGATGAGGGAGTGGGGGGGATACCAATGTGTCCCAGAATCTATACTGCCCTCCTTGGTGCTTGTGGTAGACTTGGGTACTGCTGCTGCTACCAAATAGTATTTCCAATTTTGCTTCTGGGCCAAGGTGACTGCTCTTTCCTGCTCACTTGCGACTGAGTGGGGCCATGTAATCAGTTCTGGAAAACTGACTTGTGAACAGAAGGGACGGGTGTCCCTCTGGGCCATAGCTATTATTTTTTACTTCTGGCATAGTAACTTAACAGTATTTGAGATGGTGACTACTCTATCAGCCTGGGTCCCTGAATAACTAAAATGAGAAGGCCCACTCCCTTGTTGACCATAATGTACATGTAGCCTACCTAAGTGAGAAATTTTTATTTTAAGCCACTGAGATTTGGGGTTTGTCATTGCATCATAAGTTAGCTTGTTCTGACTAATACAATGCCATACAACAACCAATCTTACAAGCTACCTGCTAGGAACCTGAATAATAATAATTGTTCTATTATTGCTATTATTGTTATAATAATAATCATTATTATAGTTACCACTTACTGAGTGCCTCCTATGTGTAACAGACATGTACTACCCAGTACAGGCATTGTCTCAATTCTGCTCACAGCAACCTTGGAAGATATTAGCCAATGACCAAGACAGGAAAATCAAAGCTTAGAACTAGCACAAATATTTCATTTGCTATCTGAGTGAGGGTTATTGAAAATGCTATTCTTTGATCATTCTCTGTCCCTTATACAAATTATCTTTAACAATCATAGCAAGAACCGTCCTGGAGTGCACGTTTTCGTGTATAAAGTGCCATTAAAGAGTTCATGACCTTTGCTCCTGTCATTACTATTCTCTAGACCAGGCTTTTGTGGTGCAGACAGATTGCTTGAACAGTAAAAAATAATATATATGAAGATTGAATTAATGGCATTCGAGTTTGTACGTAGAGTTGCTAGTATGCTTCCTTTAGCCAGATGTTAAGAGTGCTCCGGCCCAGCTGCCCCTTTTCCCTGGCGGCCATGGTGGTGGTGAGCGCTAAACCAAATGCACAGTCACCCCCAGTATCAGCCCTGTGGGACGTGCTGGTGTGTTTGCTGCCTCCTCCTTCCATGGGGTTGATTTCCCGTTAGTTGTAACAACTGTATAATTTTCCCTTCTTTAATAGTAGTCCTGAGAACCCTTCTGGGAGACTGGCAGGATACAAACACATTTATAGATATTTTTAGGTCTCTCTTTTTATTTATTCTGTGGCGGGTGTAGGACTAGGGGTTGGATTTGAAGTAATCTTAGGTGAGTTTGTGGCGCTCCCTGGCGGTGCTTGGCGAAACACCCTGGGTCCTCCGCGTCTGTACCGAGCTCGGTAAGCTCACGGAGTGTCAGCTGTTTGGGGCTCTCCTCGCCATCCCCTCCTGCAGGCTCCTCCTAAGCGGCAGTAGCCCTCCATAGGCGCAGTCTGCACGCTTTATGAGTTCATCCCCCTCCAGCTTCGTCCAACACAAAAACTTCCAGTTGTGTTATTGCTGTATACAGAGGTCAGTTCATGTCCCCTGGGCGCCCTTCCCACCCCCAGGCAGTGGCTGCGTAGTCTGCTGGGGGCACGTGAACCGCCACGGGGCCTTGATCCGCAGGTCCAGTCGCAGCTACACCCCGCCACCGAGACGCCACCACCTCCCTCCCGACACCCGACCCGCAGGAGTCCCGGGAGGCGGGTCCGGAGGGGCTGCTCTTCATCTGGCGGGAGGAGAGGCTGGAGGGAAAGGGCAGCAGGAGCCCCCGCAGGACTCGCAGGCGTTGTCGCGCGTGCGGAAGGGGCCCCGGATGCTGAGCAGAGGGTCCCCTACTCGGAGTAGCAGTAGGTCCCGTAGCTGGCCTGCTGGGGCTGCGGGAAGCCGAAGCTGCGCACGCCGGGGTCGGGGAGGCCCCCGCAGCGCGGCCGCGGCGCGGCGATGGGGAAGCGCACGCTGCCGTCCGCCAGCCAGCCGCCGTCGCACTGGTCCAGCCCCGAGAACTTCCAGGCCGCGTACAGGTGCCCGACCTTCGCCAGCTCGGCCCCGCGCCGCCGGCAGGCCGCCTGGGCCTCAGACAGGGTCAGCCGCCCGGGCACGAAGAACACGCGGCCTGGGGACGGAGCGGGTCACGGACGGGCCGGGAGCAGGGTGTGCGGGGTGCAGCGGGGATGCGGGCTCCCGGCGAGGGCCAGGCTGCGGAAAGCGGAAAGCGGGCCGGGCTGGGTGGGAGGCGTGGGCAGGGGCGCGGGTGGGGTTGCGGGAGGCAGGCTGGAGCGAGTGGGCGGAGCGAGGCGGGGCCAGGCCTTGAAGAGACAACCTTGCGGGTGCGGGTCCCCAGCCCCAAGGGTTTCACTTTCCCCGCCCCTATCAGCCAGACCCCGCCCCCACCCGCCAGACTCCTCCCCACCCGCCAGGCCCCGCCCCCACCCGCCAGATTCCTCCCATCCGACAGACCCCGCCCCCACCCGCCAGATTCCTCCCATCCGACAGACCCCGCCCCCACCCGCCAGATTCCTCCCATCCGCCAGACCCCGCCCCTCCCACCAGACCCCGCCCCTCCCGCCAGACCCTGCCCCCAGCGCAGCGCTCGCCCGGTCCCTATCCGTCAGACCCCGCCCCATCCACCAGACCCCGCCCACCATCAAGACCCCGCCCCACCCGTCAGATCCCGCCCCCGGCGCCGAGCTCGCCGCCCCTCACCTGCCTGCGTGGAGGTGAAGCAGAAGGCGTCGTAGCGGTCGCGCTTCCGGTCGCGGGTCCCGTAGCTGCGGATCCCAGGCCGACCGTGGCCGCCGCACTGAGCACGCACGGTAAGCACAGGGTAGTGCACGGACCCCTCGAGCAGCCAGCCCGCGTTGCACCAGTCCAGCCCCTCGGTCCACGCTGGAGGGAGACGAGGGATTAGAGGCGTCTAGGCAGGAGCCTGACCCGGAGGTCTGGGCCCCGTTAGCCCGGAGGGAACCCAGGCGGTGCCCGGGGCCGCTCACCCTGGTACAGCTGGGCGTAGGTGGCCAGGCGCCCGTCCTGCTCCTCGCATGCCTGCTTCGCCTCGTAGTAATTGAACTGGTACCTGCCCCGGCTGGGCTGGTACGGAAACACCACACCTGTGGAGGGCAGACAGCACGGGGAGGGCAGCGGACGAGGGAAGGGGAAGGAAAGGCGGGGGATATGTCGAGGCAAGAGCCCTAGGATCCCCGAGTCCGCCCCCGGCCCTCTCCCCCGCTGGAGAGGAGGGGCTGGAACCCCCGGCCTCACCCTCCAGGCGCAGAGTCAGCGCCACGCTCTCGTCCTCGATGCCGTTGATGAGCTCACAGCGGTAGCGGCCCTCGTCCTCCAGGCGCACGCCCGCAATGACCAGGGAGGCGTCTAGCCGATGCCCCCTCCGCATCCTGGCTCGGCCCTCCAGAGCCCCGTAGCTCCGGGCGTGCAGTCCGTTGGTGATGAGGATGGAGGTTTGCCGGAGCTCCCCGGGCTCCACTTTGCTCCAGCGCACCTTGTAGCTGGGAGGCAGGGTGCCCAGGATGCAGGGCAGCGTGGTCGTGGCGCCACGACGAGAGTGAATGACCTCGTGGATGGGGGGCAGGAGGTAGTGGGGGCCCCGGTAGGATGCTGAGCAGAGGGGGCCACAGTGGCAGGAACCCCCTGACCCCCACTGTGCCAAGTGCCCATCCAGACCCTGTTCCCCGGCCTGCCCCATTCTCTCCTCTGCCCACTCAGCAATCACTCTCACTCCTTGGGCACCTCCAACAGTGCCTTCCCCACTTTCCCCACACCGGGCGCTTCTCTCCCACAGATTCCGGGCGGGAGCTGAGATCTTACCTGGGTCGCCGAGGGCTTTGTGGGAGGTGGCGAAGGCCCCCAGGAGGAGGAAGTGACAGAGTGTGGGGAGACTGAGCCAGCGGTGCATGATGGGGAGTCAGCCTAGCTGGGTCTAGAGGCACAAAGGGTGGGCATTCTTTAGGACTAAGGGAGTGAGGACAGGGTGGGGAAAGCAGGGGTGGAGTAAACTCCCCGCAGGGATTCCTCAGAGGGACTGGGGCAGTAAAAGGGCTTATGTTCATGGCAAAAGGAAAGGGGGAGGCGAAGGGGGTCCATAGCAACCACACCCCACCTCTGCCCATCCCTCTTCCTCTCTCCCACCCCCAGTCAGCAGGTCTTCTGCCTATTCCCTTCTCATCACAAGTGCCACTTCCCAGGTTTTGCCATCTGGATTGTCTGCTCCAGTCTCTATCCTCTCCCAGCACGCATGACCATCGGAAGCCGGAGTAAACGTGTCCTGCTTAAGACAGTCTCTCCCTGTTGCTCTGAGAACAAAGCCCAGTTGCTCTGTGATCCAGTCTCTCCCTGCACTTGGCCACCCGTGCCTTCTGCGCTGCACTCCACACTTGGACTTCTGGCTCCAGAATAGTCCAAGGTCACGCTCACCTCCTCACAGACATCAGTTTGGGCCTCACCTCCTTTGGGAAGCCTTTTCTCTCCCCACCCCACCCCCGCCCAGTTCACCACACTTGTCCAACTCCCCCGCTGCTCTGGATTGGGGATTTCCCCCCCTTAGGGGTACTTTTATCAGCAGCTAAGTCAGCAATGTGAGTTTGAAATACATATGTATATGGAGTAAGGTTTCCAGGAATTATAAAGTATAAAGTTACAAAAAAGATTTCAAACATAGTTGTCTATTTCAGTAGTTCTTTTCTCCTTTATTATATATCTTCTTCACCTTGATATTTATTTTGAAAACTGAGGACCCCTTAACCTAGTTTTATTCATTTTAAAAATCTGATTCCTCCACTTCCTAACTGCATGACTTTGAACAAATTACTTAACTTCTCTCTGACTCAATGTCCTGATTAGTAAAATAGGGATAATAATGCACACCTCCCTTACTGAGAAGTTGTGAGGATGTGAGGAAAAATAACATACACAAACTGCTTAAAAGAGTGTCTGCTATGTCGTAGTGCTGTGTATGTGTTTGCTCATTTCTGCAGCTCCCAGCATAGTTTCTGGCATACAGTAGGTGCTAAGTTAATATGTGTTGTGTGTTAATGAATGAGCTCGTATGCAGGACTTCTGGGAAGGAGAACTGGGACATGGTGAGAGGGAGAAAACACTGAGGAGGAGCCAGAAAGCTTAGGACCTGAGCTCCATCTTTCTGCAAATGGAGGTCAAAGACGACCTTGCAGAAAGAGAAATGGGAGTTAGGCACAGAAAGGACTTCCCCACGGCTAATAGGAAAGTATCTGGTTCAGGGACACAAACAAGAGAACCAGTTCAGTCCAGGAGAACCTGGTAAGCAGAGTGATAGTGGGGACAGACTCACCAAGGAACTAATAGTAATAGCTGTCAGGCCGAAACCGGTTTGGCTTAGTGGATAGAGCGTCAGCCTGCGGACTGAAAGGTCCCGGGTTCGATTCCGGTCAACGCATGTACCTTGGTTGCGGGCACATCCCCAGTAGGGGGTGTGCAAGAGGCAGCTGATAGATGATTCTCTCTCATCGATGTTTCTAGCTCTCTATCCCTCTACCTTCCTCTCTGTGAAAAATCAATAAAATACATATTTTTTTTTAAAAAAAGTAATAGCTGTCATTCACATGCCTGAGATGGCTCTAAGCACTTTAAGTGTGTACTTTCATATTCACACCTGCCAGCAATCCTGGCAGGTGTGAATATGATTGAACCCCATTTTATATACTCACACAAAGGTGCATGCATTTTAGTAAACTTGAGTGGAGTCAAACAGCTTGTAAGAGGAGGGATTTTTTGGGATTTGAATCAGGATCTGACTGATGCTTCATTCCTTAATGACTGATCTATATTTCTGCATTTTAGATCAAGTGCACCCGCATCTTCACACTCTTTACAGAGAAAGAGAGAGGCCAACAGCAGCTCCAGCACTTACCTGTTACAAGCTGGTCCCTTCGCAGAGATGGAGGGAGCTGGGATAGGCAGCTTTTTGTCCTGCTGGAGGAAGAGGTTCCGGGTGAAGGAGTTGCCACTGGGAGGTCCAAGCACCTCAGGGCCCTGGATTTGGGCATCTGGTCAGTGCAGTCACGCCTTTTGCACTTTTGAGCTCACAGGAGAAGCCGAGGGTCCAAGCACTTCATGACCCATTATTTCTCCGAGCCAGGCTCAGTGGCCCAGGTCCAGCCCTGTGACCAGGCACTATATCTGCAGTGCTCACTGCCCTGGGCCCAGGGGAAGATGCTGGGTGTGCGATAGGGGGCAGGGACGCATTCAGGGGTGTGGAGAAGAGGAGGCAACCAGAAATGACCGCCTGCAAGAGTACAGAGAGTGAGGCGCCCGGTTCATCACGCTCTTGGACCAGAGCAGGGTATTGATGGGTGGGTAGGAGGATGTTGGACCAATAGGCATAGGAATGAGGCTCCGTAGCCGTCAAGCTCCAGATGCCTGCATTTTTCCATATGGGCTCCTGATTCATCTGCAGAAAAAGGTGCTGGGCCAACAATCTTGGCTTCATGGGCACTAACTCCTTAATAGACCAGAACTTAGAAAACCCAGAGGAGCTGTGGGGGAATGGAGCACCCCTCCCCTCCTCCTTTCCCCAGCGAAGTCCTCACCTCTGCCCTCCGGTGCCTGGGTGCGCATCGCCTCCGGGAAGAGGCTCTCAAGGTGGGAACCAGCTGCTTCGAGAAACCTGACCCCTTCTGTCCAGCCCATCTGTCAATCTGTCTGTCCTGTCCTTCTCTGTCCCCACCCCATCAGAAGCACAATTCCCCATTGTCCCCATCTCTCCCCCATTGTTGAACAACAGGGGCCCCTTTCTTTGTCCTCTGGGTAAAGGCAATAAACTGTCAACAGCTGGGGATGTGGGATGCAGGACCGGCTGGCACACCCCACCGGAAGAAGGGTCTGGGTGGGGGTCGGCTTGGCACAGGAACTGACATCCCCGAGGAGCACAGAAGGAGATGGGGGGCAGAGAATGGTCAGTGAGAAGGTTGAAATGGGGTCTCCTTCCATACTGTAAGCTTCGAGGCTTTAGAGAGAGCTTGTGTGAGGCTGGGCTCCGTAGAGGGCAGAGTGTGCGGTTAGAGTTACAATAAGGGAGATGGAGATTACTAGACTGCAAGGAGGATTTTTCTGTCCCCAGGAAGGGACATGGTGTGGGAATGTCTGAGGCGGGAAGGATTTGGGAAGCTCTCCAAGACAGTGGTCATGTTATTTTTTCCCCTACTTCCCTACCTCCTCTTTCAGCAGAGGAGCATAATCTTAAAGTTCTCAAGGGAACTTATTGGGTAGAAATTCACTTCTCTTGTTAGGAAGTTTTTTTTTCCCCCTGAAGTCTAAACTCCTATTGGAGTTCAAGCTCATTTTAAAAACCTTCCTAAGGAGGTGTAATTTACAGGCAACAAAACGCACAGCTCAATCAACGTTGATATGTGCACCCGCCCATGTAATTACCCCGCTCCCCCATCAAGACATAGAACCTTTCCAACACCCAGAATAAGCAAGCACATTTCTGTTTTGTTTGCTATCAATGCAGAGGGTGGATTCCCTCCATTAACAGCCATTTGGAAATGTTCTGAGCTTCCAATTGCCTCTCAGCCTTCTTTCATCTCTGCTGAGCAACCTCGCAACAGTACTTCTGTGTTTCCGAACTGGAGGGAACTTCGGGATGCTTAGTCTCCTGGGTTACCAGAGGAAGAGGAGGTGGGAGGGGAAGGGACTTGCCCAAGACCGTGCAGAAGGCAGCTGTTGAGTCAAACCTAGAACTTGCTGCTTCCCCCCCAGTAATCCCTCTCCACTCCTCTCCTTGGCCCTCCATGTTGGAAGAGCTCCAGGGTTTTGACTGTAGATCTAACAAGAGCTCACCCCCATGGACTTGATTGACTGTCTTTTCCCTCCCTTCAGCTCCATCCCTGTCTCTAAGTCCTTCCCTCCTCCCAGAGCGGACAAACAAAGAAGACAAATAACCCCTGTCTCCTGGGCCAGGACACCCTGAGCCAGTGCATCTGATTGGCCTCCACCCAACTCAAACAAACAGCTTCCCACAGGGAGGGGGCGGGTCTAAAGCAAAGGCTTCCAGCCCGTCCTACCGCCACTCCCCGGCTCATGCCTCACCCACCACCCTTTCTCCCCAGGTCACTTCGGGACTGTGGTTTAGATGTCTCTGATAGGTAAGTCCATAACAGGCTGAGTCTGGCATGGAGGTAAACCTAGAACTGTTTGATAGATGCCAAAAGAACCGTTTCAGGATAGAATGAGAAAGGAACAGACCAGGAATAAACATAGTAAATAGTCGAGCTATTTACGCTAACATAGTGGTTAGTGTGCTCAAGGTCACTTTCATTCTCAGTTTTTCCCAAGGCACTGCAAAGTAGGAATCCAGTAAGACCCGCTTGGGCTTGAGTTGGCAGCTTTTCACTGAATTAGCATCTTTTAAAGAGAGAGTTTTGCCGCTTCTGCTATCTACTGACCAGAGGGAGGTGGAATCATCTAGAACAAGCATGAAGTCCTGTCATCACAGGCTCAGCTTTACCCGCTCCGGGCACATTTGGCTGACTAGTTTTCTTGACCCCTGATGATGGCATGATCCCAGTTTATTACTGGGAATTTGGCAAAATGGCACTTTAGGGAAAAAAACAGGGAGGGAACAGTGCCTGACGCATGCAACACACTCAATACATTTTGGCCCTTATTATTGGGGGTGGGGAGAGACACCAAAGAGAATAGAATCAATCAAAACAGACACTAACTGCTTGATTTTAAAGGATCACCTGATTTTTAAAAATACATAAAAATTACACAAAAGTCAATGTCCCACTTATTTTTTTTATATAACAAAAGTAATACACATAGTAAAAAAGAATTCAACCACTACTAAAGGGGTAAAATAAAAAGCAGAGTGCTCTTTCCTTCCTTCTCGCTTCCACCTATAACCATTAAACCATTGTTAAACTTCTCTCTGTCAGAAGTTTTTAAGACTACAATTCCTGGTTGGTTTGGCTCAATGGATAAAAGCATTGGCCTGGGGACCAAAGGGTCCCAGGTTCGATCTGGTCAAGGACAGATGTCTGGGGTTGCAGGCTCGATCCCCAGCAGGGGGCAGGCAGGAGGCAGCCAATCAATGATTCTCATCATTGATGCTTCTATCTCTCCCTTTCCTTCTGAAATCAATAAAAATATATTTTAAAAAGACTCTATGAGAATACAGATAAGTAGAAACATACCATATGCATTTATTCTTTTTAAAATTTATTTTAGAGAGAGGAAGAAGAGAGAGAGAAACATTTATTTGTTGTTCTACTTATCTATGCATTTATTGATTGATTAGAGGCCCAGTGCATGAAAATTCATGCACTGGAGGGGGTGGTCCCTCAGCCCCGCCTGCCCCCCTCACAGTCCAGGAGCCCTCAGGGGTGGAAAGCAACTCGGCGATCAGGAGAAGGAAACACCCCCATCACACCTCTGCTGCTGCCACTGCCAGCAGTGCAAGCCTTGGCCAGCCCTGACCTGAGCCTCAGGTGGCTCTGGGCAGCTGCAGTACAAGGCTCGCCTGTGCCTTGGGCCAGCCCTGAGTGGCTAGGGGAGCTGAGGGGACTGGGGGACTCTGGAGGCAGGCATGTGGAGTGGCCAGACCCGCCTGGGGGCAGGCCCAACCATGCTGCACACCTGCTGTCCGGTGGAGCTGAGTGGACTGGGTGTTGCCATCTTGTGGCTATGGGCACCACCATTGTTGAGGGCGTGACAGACGATTGACATATTTCCTCCTTATTGGCTGTGGGTGCCACCATCTTTGTGAGGGCATGATGGTCAATTTGCATATCCCATCTTTATTAGAAAGGGTTCTTCTATGCATGTGCCCTGACCAGGGATCTATCATGCAACCAACCGAATTACCTGTTCAAGGTCCATATATTCTTTTTTTTTTTTTAATATATTTTTTATTGATTTTACACAGAGAGGAATTGAGAGGGACAGAGAGTTAGAAACGTCAATGAGAGAGAAACACTGACCAGCTGCCCCCTGCACCCCCCCCCCACTGGGATGTGCCCGCAATCAATGTACATGCCCTTGACCGGAATCGAACCCGGGACCTTTCAGTCCGCAGGCCGATGCTCTATCCACTGAGCCAAACTGGTCCCGGCCATATATTCTTTTTATTTCAATTGAAATCATATCATACAAACTGTTCCCTATCTTACTTTTTTCACCTAATAATATGTTTTGAGAATTTGTCCTATCAGCACTTGACATAAAACTTCATTTTTTTTTCATCTGCAGAGTATTCCAGTGAATGACTATAGCATAATTTATTTAATGAGATGCCTATTGGTGAACATTTAGGATGCTAGAGGTTGGGACCATTAATCACCAGGGAAAAAATTGAGTCCATAACTCGGAATGGCGGTCAGGCCAGGCCGGTGTGCACCTTTCGAGAGCCATATCCCGCAGCGGCCTGCTGCTTCTGTGGATACATTTATCCGGGAAGGCGGCTTTTATTATTCTCTCTCCTCACCCCCAATTAGGGATTTGGAAGCTTGGGAATGGGGAAGCACCGGGTCCTAATGGATGCTCAAGCCTCCCACTTAACACCTTGCAGGTGGAAAAAAACACACACAGATTTAGGTTCCAGTCTCCTCACTCACATGAAAGGACCAAGCTATGACCCAGCCGATGTGGCTCAGCTGGCTGGAGGGTCACCCTCTGCACTAAAAAGACTTCAGGTTCGATTCCTGGTCAGGGCACCTACCTAGGTTTCGGGTTTGATCTCCAGGTGGGACATACGGGGAGCAACCAATGGATGTTTCGCTCCTACATATCTCTCTCTCTCTCTCTCTCTCTCTCTCTCTCTCTCTCTCTCTCTCTCTCTCATTTCAAAATCCATAAAAACATATCCTTGGGTGAGGATAAAAAAAAGAAAAAGAAAAAGGCCAATCTAAGACATCCAACTCTTTCACTTGGGGAGCTTTACAAATCAGGACTCCCCCTTTTCTGCAACCAGAGTCTCACTGAATGTTACTGGTCTGGGATAGATATTGTCCTCGTCCTCTGGTTGCTGTCATGGGCAGCCAAAGCCGAACCCACTGAACTAACCAAAGAGAGGTGATCAGGGAGCTCCCTCAGCCCCAGAATGACCACCTGACACCTCCACCATGAGTGAGGTGCCCTCCAAGCACTGGCCTCAAGGAGCACAAACCTATGATGGATTAATGAAGTTGATGGGATTATCTAAATTGATGGGATTAACGAAGTTGATGGGTTTATCTAAATTTAACAGTTAATTGTAGACAATTTAACAGACATAAAATCATTTTTAAAAATTATCTTTGTTGTTGAAAGTATTAGAGATATTCCCTGTTTTCTTTCCCATTGACCCCCTCCACCCTGAACCCGCCCCTTCCAGGCCTTACCCATACTATTGTCTGTGTCCATTGGTTATGCATCTATGCATGTAAATTCCCCGGTTCACATCTCCACATAAAATCATTTTAAAAAAATAAAAATCCCATAGCTAGTTTGACTAAGTGGATAGAGTATTGGTCTGTGGACTGAAAGATCTCAGGTTTGATTTCAGTCCAGGGCATGTGCCTGGTTTGAGGGCTGGATCCCCAGTGTGGAGCATGCAGGAGGCAGCCGATTGATGGTTCTCTCTTATCATTGATGTTTCTATCTTTCTATACCTCTCACTTCCTCTTGGAAATCAAGAAAGATATATTTTAAATAAATAAATAAATAAATAAATAAATAAATAAATAAATGCTATACCTGAGATCCACAGCAGGTGGCGAAAGAAGACTGCATTACCACTCAGACGCTCTAATCACTGCGCCACCAACCAGGGCACTATGTGGCATACTGTATTTTCTAACTAAAATTAATTCTATGGCCGAGACCGGTTTGGCTCAGTGGATAGAGCGTCAGCCTGAGGACTGAAAGGTCCCGGGTTCGATTCTGGTCAAGGGCATGTACTTTGGTTGCAGGCACATCCCCAGTAGGGGTTGTGCAAGAGGCAGCTGATCGATGATTCTCTCTCATTGATGTTTCTAACTCTCTGTCCCTCTCTCTTCCTCTCTGTAAAAAATCAATAAAATATTTTTTAAAAATTTAAATTAAAAAAATTAATTCTATGGGTGATAATTTATGGATGTAAGGGAGTATGACACACTGAGCAATCATGATAAAGCTTTACTATGAAATGGCAGTTTTCCTTTTTTGAAGTTCCTAGGAGGCGTTAATTTAACATAACTACTGATATAGGGAGGCAAGTGACGGATACTTTTTTCAGGTTTTAGTTCTTGGGTGGCTCGGTGAAGCCTAGGAACAAGTTGGGGGGGGGGGGTTAGGATGCTGACTTCTTTGCAGTATCTTCTTTCCCTTTTCTGCCTAAGGCCAGTCCAAACCCCTCATTCTGGCTTGCATTCCGGGATCCCACATCTCTCTCCATGCCCCACTCCTAGTCTCCTTCAGTCCCACTTAGGATCCCAACTTTCCCCGAATAGGTGCTCCTGAAGTCAGGGCTCGTGTCTTATGCACATTTTATCACCAGTACCAGAAGGACAGGCCCTGGTACACAGGTGTGAGTCAAAAATGTTTGCTGGACCTGCTGAAACCTCTAATCTCTAGGCTTTTATCAATAACTGTGCCCAGGAAATTCACCCCTACGGTGCTACCTCCTCAGCCTCCACCAATATCTAGGGCGCACTCGATGCTTTCCCCTAGCGTTTTCCTTCCCCGTATTCATGCCAGGGCTGGCTCAGCGTTGGACCCACAGCTGTTTCCGGTATCTCAGCATCTAGGTGCCCTGGTCGCTCAGACACTACAGGTGGGCAGTGCGTGACCCCGCCCCCAACCTCCGGAAATGGGCGCGCTCTGGGGCCGAGTTTCTATAGCAACCACACCAGCCAATGGGCCCTCCCCCGGACAGTTTCTCCTGGGAGGACCGGGACTTGGGTTCCCGCGTTCGTCTCTATGGTTTCGACAGCCTAGAAGGACCAAAGCGGTACTTCCGGGAAGGCGGCGGCTCACCCGTCAGACCGGCACATGCTTCCGCCGGGAGGTCCCGCGGTGACGGTAAGGGGCTGCGGTCCCCCGAGGGGCGCCAGTTGGAGCCCGGGCCCTCCAGAGCAGTGTCATCCAAGTAAAACCGCGGCGGAGGCGGAGGCGGAGGGGGCTGGGATTTAGACCTCAGAGGAAGGAGGCCCAGGGGAAAGGTAGCCGGCTCTCAGATCCGCTGTAGAGAGAGGCCCAGGACCACTAATCCAGAAAACCGGGTTGGCTGGAGAGGAGACAGTGCCTGAAAGTGTGCTCACAGCCTTCCCAAGGACCGGCGCACAGCCTGCGACCTAGTCGCCTCCGTCCACAGGTGCCCATGGTAAGCCACAGCAATCCCCACCTGTGCCATTCATTCAGTTCAACAAATGGCTGAATGCGTTCTCAGGTCCTGGCGCGGCACGAAGGGCACCGAGGCTGGGGGATAAAGCCCGGCTCAGACTGCGGGGCGTTTTGTTTCGAACGACCGCGACAAGGGACCGGCAGTGGTAATGCTGCAGAAACCACAGAGAGCTGTAGGAGACTGAGGAATGTGGTCATTAACGCTGGCCCTGGAATGCCCTGGACCCTGGACCCAGTACATGCCAGTTATTTGATTTGGGCAAGTAATTAATCTTCGCAGTGCTATTTCTTCGTTTGCGGATTACAGAAATACAATGCCCTAAAAGGGTTGTTGGGAGGATTAAATGAGATAATTAATCTGTGTTAAGCAATTAGCAACAGGCTGTCATAGAGTAAATGCCTAAGTATTATTATTACTGAAATTTGGGATCTGATAGGTCATAGATAACTTCTGAGAAGAAGCAGAGTTTTGAGGTGGCCTTAAAGACTTCAGAGTTTGAATTTTACTTTGACAGTATTAAGAAGCATGATAGGGCCATTTCTTCACTCATGCTTTTCTTTTATATATATATTTTTATTTTTTTTTAAATATATTTTATTGATTTTGTACAGAGAGGAAGGGAGAGAGAGAGCTAGAAACATCGATGAGAGAGAGTCATTGATCAGCTGCCTCTTGCACATCCCCTACTGGGGATGTGCCTGCAACCAAGGTAACATGCCCTTGACCGGAATCGAACCCGGGTCCCTTCAGTCCCCAAGCCGACGCTCTATCCGTTGAGCCAAACCGGTCTCGGCTTTTTAAAATATATTTTTATTGATTTCAGAGAGGGAGAGAATCATTAATTGGTTGCCTCCTACAAGCCCCCTACTGGGGATTGAGCCTGCAATCCCGGCATGAGCCGTGACCGGAATCGAACATGAGACCCTTCTATCTGCAGGCCAACACTCTATCCAGAGCCAAACTGGCTAGAGCTTCACGCAGTGCTTTTCTGTCGGGACTGTCAAGGTATTTGCTAGGTTTACAGGTAATTGTTCTTCACAGTAGAAATGTGAACAGAAATGTGAGTCACTCTGAATCTGCTATTTTCAAACCTAACCAGACTGGTCATGATTTTTTTAAAATGTTTTTATTGATTTTATAGAGAGAAGAAGGGGGGTGGGAGATAGAATTGGCTATGCCCTGCATGCCCTCTACTGGGGATCGAGCCCACAACCCTGGGCATATGCCCTGACCTGGAATTGAACTGGTGACTTCTTGGTTCATGGACGACACTCAAACCAACTGAGCCACAGTGGCTGGGCTTGTCATCATTCTTAAGTCTAATATATAATGTTTAGGAGGGGTGACTTAATGATGTACCTCAGCACGGCTGGTGTGGCTTCCTACATGCACCCAATCAGGGCCAGGAATCAAGTCTTGACCAGACTAGAACCCGGGATCCTTTAGTCCACAGGCGGATGCTCTATCCACTGAGCCAAACTGGCTAGGGCAATAACAATTTTTTAAATAGAATATTATAATTAAAAAGTTAAATTAGTTGGGATGTGATAGAAAGAGGGCCACTTTAGAGTCAGGCAAGCTAGGCTCATATTCCAGCTCCATCTCTTACTAGCTGTGTAATCCCAGGCAAGAAACACAGGTTTTATTTTCCTCGTTTGTAAAGTCATGATAATACCTAACAGGACTGTCAGGATTAAATGAAACTAGAGGGGGGTCGAGGGTTGGCTCCCTCCTCCTTGTTCAAAATAATAATAAAAATAAAAATAAATAAATGAAACTAGAATATAGGTAATCCACCTGTTGTGCATTAAGTGCTCAGTAAGAGTGTCCTTCCTGAGCTGGACAATTTCAAGAGGAGTGCTTGAACAAGACGGAAAAGGGCAGTGGGGAAGAGGTGTGTGGCGCCCCCACTGAAAGGCAGTGTAAATGCTAGGGCACAGGTATAGGATACGGGCTCTATTAAGCACTGTTATAACTCAGGTAACGAGCGTCTCAGCGCTTGGTTCTTACATGGGAGGAGTGTTCATGTTCTGGCAGAGTGGTGACTGCACACAAGCTGCCTGGGTTTGAGTTTTACACACAATTAGCTGTGTGACCTTGAGCAAGTCATCTAACCTCTTTATTTATTTTTAAAAGGAAATTTTCAAATTTATTTATTTTTTTAAATATATTTTATTGATTTTGTACAGAGAGGAAGGGAGAGAGATAGAGAGTTAGAAACATCGATGAGAGAGTGTCATCGATCAGCCGCCTCTTGCACACCCCCCACTGGGGATATGCCCGCAACCGGGACCCTTCAGTCCCCAAGCCGACGCTCTATCCATTGAGCCAAACCGGTTTCGGCTCATCTAACCTCTTTAAACTTCAGTTTCCTCACTTTTAAAATAGAGATAATCATACTTTTCTGGAGGTAAAGTTTAGAAAATCTTCCTGGGGTGGGAAGATTAAGTGACATGATTCATGTAAGACCTTAGCACAGCCTGGCATGCGGTGAGCTCTCCCTAAGTGTAGGTATTACTTTGTGTGTGTGTGTGTGTGTATTTTTAACATGTTGGCATTGACCTCTCTGTGGTTAGACAAGGAACTCCTTGAGGACCAGGGCTCCTTCCTCTGTCTCTGCCTCAGTTTCAGGAAAGAATTCTCGTAAGAGCAATCAGGATAGATGTGATGTATGGTGGCTCTCTCCTTTCTTCTTAAAGGGATGATAAATGACCTCTTCTCTGGTGAGCACCTGAGGACAGGGACTCTTTTCTCAACATGAAGGCCACCCCGGAGGTTAGGAGTCATGGGATGAAGTTTGCTGAGCAGCAGCTGCTAAAGCATGGATGGACTCCAGGTGATCCCCATGGGTACCTTCCACATGGCCCCAATTCCCTGCCTACCCTCTGCCCAAGGGAGAGGCATCATCCTGGATTAACCCTATGCAGTCCACTCAATTGGAGGAGGAAAACTAGCTTATGGGGAAATTTGCAGAAAATTTCTGACTTTTCCCAAAAAGGGGAGAAGAGGAAGAAATTTGACAGTGGGCATGAAGAAGTGGTTGGGAGCCTGGGGCAGAGGGGAAGAAACACGACTCTCTCCTGAAAGAATTATCGAGGAAAAGCTCGGGCTCAGGTAACAGCAGGGGGCCTGAGTGGAGAGGTGTCAGAAAGAATGGAACTCGGAGGGCTTCCGAGAGGGATAGAGCTTGCCCAGTGCTACAGGTGGCATGTGTTGGGGTGCCTTGTGAGAGCCTGGGGCAGGCAGAGTAAGCTCAGTCACTCACTGTCTTCTGCAGGCAAAGGCCTGGGCCGGAAGGAGAATGGCATCACCCAGGCCCTCAGGGTGACGCTAAAGCAGGACACTCACGGGGTAAGACTGGGCAGGCTGAGGGGGGTATGGATGGGGGAGAGCGGGAACTGTTAGGACAGGGAAGCAGGTTCAGAGTTCATGCTTCTTTCTCCGGCAGGTGGGACACGACCCTGCCAAGGAGTTCACAAACCACTGGTGGAATGAGCTCTTCAACCAAACGGCAGCCAACTTGGTAGTGGAAACTAAGCAGGTATGACGTCTAACAGGTGGCATGGGAAACATGAGGGCCTGGGACATGTGGAGGTGCGGGAGCAGGAGTCCGTCACCCACTCACTGAAACTCCCCCGCAGGATGGAGTACAGATAAGGCGCCTTTCTAAGGAGACCACCCGCCATAATCACCCCAAGCCCAACATGCTATATCAGAAGTTTGTGAAGGTATTGGAGGCTGTGGGTTCATTCTTTTCTTTCCTTCCTGGGGAGGCTTCCGGGAGGGGAAGGGATAGCAGTGGTGTGTTGTAGGCCTTGTCCACCTCATGACTCCTCCTAGACTGCCACACTGACCTCAGATGGGGAGAAGCCAGACAAGGACGTGGAAAGCTGCAGTGATGACGACAACCAGGAGCCCCAGCCTCCAAAAATGTGAGACTTCCTTTCAGCGCCAGGGCAAGTGGGAGGAGATGCTGCAGATCTCAAGAGAAAGGCCCAGGTCTAATAATGCTTGAAGGGGGCTTCTTCGGCGCGAACTGTGTTGTACTAATCCTCGTATCTCCTGCACCTGGCAAAGCGCCAGGTCCTGAACAGCGTAGAAGGAATGTTTCAGAGGGGAGGAGAGGTCAAGCGTTTCCACCAGATCGGTTTGTAATCTCTCATCTCTCCGCCCCAACCCTCCACAGTCTGACTGATGAGATGCTGCTCCAAGCCTGTGAGGGTCGAACAGCGCACAAGTAAGTAGTTACTCGTTAGCTCCTGGGTCTCCGTTTTCTCCCTGTCACAAGCCTGTCCCTGAGGATGGCCTATACCACTTCTTGACGTTTTCGCCCCAGGAACGTGATTCATACTATCTGCCCCTATCTGAAGCTGCTTTAAGATAGCTCCTCCCCTACCAGTTTCCCATACCGTCTCAAGAATTGGGCTTTTTCCTGATGCCCACCCTCTGACTTTGGCCCTATTTCAGGGCTGCCCGTCACGGAATTACAATGAAGGCTAAGCTTGCTCGTTTGGAGGCCCAGGAACAGGCCTTCCTGGCTCGGCTCAAAGGCCAGGACCCTGGAACCCCTCAACTGAAGACTGAGAGCAAGGCCCTTAAAATAAAGAAAAAGAAACAGAAAGAGGAAGAAGGAGCTACAGCAACTGAAAGGAATGCAGACAAGGAGTATCCAGAATACACTGACCAGAGCATCAGGAAAAGCAAGAAGAAAAGACAACCTCAAGATAAGAAAGAGGGGACACCTGTAGAGGAGGAAGAGGTCGCAGAAACAAAAGGGCTTGGGGAACTAAAGAGCAGAGAACAAACTGACTCATCCCCCAGGAAAAGGAAGAAAAAGAAGAGGCAGCACCATGAAGAGGAGACGCGGGGGGTCTTAAGTAAGGGAGGAGGTAAGAAGGATGTAGGTGGCATCAGAACAGGGAAGGTAGAGAGCCGAGCACACACTGACTCACGTAGCAGAAGCAAGAGGCAGCAGTGCGAGGAGGAGGAAGACTTGGACATAGAGGATGAGGAAGCTGGGGAGGCTGCTGCAGATGGTGGGACCAGGGAAGCAGAGAGCAGAGCGTGCGGTGGTAAGAAAAGCAGAAGCAAGAAAAGACATCGGCATCAGGATGTCTTGGACATAAGCGATGGACATGAGGATGGTGGGACTAGGGAAGCAGAGGGCAGAGCACACCCTGGCTCAAGCAGCGGAGGTCAGAAGAGGAGGCAGCAGCAAGCAGAGGAGGAAAGAGCCACAGGCAGCACGGACCAGAGAGCAAAAAAGAAGAAGCGGAAGAAGAGAGACTGAAGGTCAGGTGCGGTGTCCTCGATCAGTTTCTCTCCAGGAGTAGTTGAGGCCTCAGAGATCTGGGTTGGTAGGTCTCCTGCACCCTCCCAGTGAGGAGTCCTTCCGGAGGAGGACCAGCTCTGGACACCAGCATGCTGAGGAGAGCGGTTCACCTGCCTTAGCTGAGGGAATGGGCTTCCTCCCCTTTGCAGCTCCTAACCCAGAGATCATGAACTCAGATGCCCATCGGAGCCAAGCAGCCCAGGGACAAGGAGTGCTAGGAGCTGTGGGAGTAGGAATGCAGGTCCCTTTGAGGGGGCATCCTTGCTGAAAGAAACTAAACATGCTGACTTATGTGATGTGTCCTGATTCTTAAATATTGTGACGCTAAGGAAAACACAAATCTTGTTCTGTGAGCTGCTTTCTAACACTCTGCCAAATGAGGCAATAAACATCAGCTTGGGCTCCTAGCCTGTCCATCAGTCCTGACCAGCATCTCCATTCCCAGCCTGGGAAGGTCCTAAATAAAAATTAAGTTTCCTTGGTCCTTTGAAGAAATTCTTTCTGTTAACCTGGGGTCTTGCTACGTAGTTGAATGGAAGGGGAAAGCTAAGAGAACCTCATCCAGTGTCCTGTGTCCCTAAGGGGTAAGAATTATGTGTGTATAAAGGACAAGCATTGCGAGACTTCCAGCATCTGAAAGTCAGTATTTAGTGCCCCAAATGCCACAGCAGCTTCTCTTGCTTGTTCTTCCCCAAAGAGGACACCATATCTCCAGTGTTGCAGGCCACCCGTTAACCTTTACTGCCAGGAGAGCTTTCAGGTTTCCACCGTTCTGAGAGAGAGAGAGAGGCACTGAGTCTTTATTGGGAAGAACAAACGTCTGCCCCCCCTCACTGCAGACGGTATACACACTCAGTGTCGGGGTACGCTGGCAGATTCAGCTGGTACTTCTTTTCCAGAGCACGTGGTACGAAACGGCCCCCCAGGTAGTGGTAGCGACCAGTGAAGTGGGTGGCAGACTTTTTAGGTGCAGTCAGGGAGATGAGCAAGTCTGGCTGGATCCCTCCAGGATTTCCCTTCTCCACATCCCATCCTGAAAAGAGGGCTGTATTCAGGAAGAGCAGAAGAGGCCAGATGTCTGTCTAGTCTTCCAAACTTACTCTACCCTAGTCCTAAAGAAACGGGGAGCCCCACGTAGGACTGCATCCTCACCTGAGGAATTGGCATCCCTGGAGCTCCACGTATCCCTAGGCTTTGGTCTCTTGGAGCCAACATGCAAAGGGTACTCCTGAACTCTGCTCCCAGCTTTATTCTGCGTCTCTACACTCATTTTAGACTTGGTTCGAGCCTTGGGTCAAGAATCAGGATTCCTAGGTACCTACCTCAAACAGGGCAGGGCCCCTATCCCAACCTCCTTGAACCCAGCACCTGAGGGAATGTCGATGCTGGCAATGGGCACAGTGAGTCCACTCAGGACACTCAGGATGCTGCGGAAAGGCTCCCGAACATCTCCCTTGAAGCTGAAGCCAAAGATGGCATCCACCACCAGCTCATAAAGCTCATCGATCACACTGGCCTGTGGGGGAGCAGGAAAAGTAAAGGATGTCAGAGCCAGCAGCTGTACAGAGTTAACAGGAGAGGGCTGTCCTCTGTACCCACAATTTTGTCTCATTCACATGATATTCTGAGAATTAAGTGCAAGTTAGTCCCTGATTCAGGTCAAGTTGAGTCCAGACACCGAGTTCTGCCTGCCTGTCATTGGGGATGCTACAGTACTGGAGAGCCTGAGACGAAGTCAGGGGGGTCAGGTTCTGGTCTCAGCTTTGCCATGATCTGGTCTGTGACTTTGGCCAAACCACTTTCATCCCTAAAATGTGTTCAAATGTTTAAAAGCCCATCGAGCTCTCAAGTTTCCCACCCCCTAAATCCATGCATCTGCAGAAAGGGTTTCGGCATTGACTTCGGCTCCTAAGATAAAGTGTTGACTGCATCCTAGGGGAAGAGGAATGACTACAGAGCAAGAGTGACCAGGGGAGATGAAGGGGAAAGGAAGCTTTATTTCTTTTTAAAATACGTTTTTATTGATTTTAGAGATAGAGTGAGGGAGAGAGAAACATCAATCGACTGCCTCCTGCATGCCCCCTACTGGTGATCAAGGCAGCAGTGCAGGCTTGTGCCCTAACCAGGAACCCAGTGATTTTGGTGCATGGGAGAGAGTTCCAACATCTGAGCCACACCGGCCAGGGCAAGGGGAAAGGAAGCTTTAGAAGTGGTGATGGGAACTCAGAGCACACCTTATGGAGGAGAAGGCTCTTACACTGCTTCTATTCAGATAACATACTTTAGGCACCTTGTGTGCCAGGCACTATTCCTACCCTCCAAGAATTCAACATCTAGAGGAAGATAACTGCAGATGAGCTCAGCCTAGAAACCTGAGGGCAGCAGAATACAATGGTTATTTTGGAGGAGAGCACTGAACTGGAGCCACCTACCTCCCGAGGCATTTCTTCAAGGAAAGGGATGTGCATTTTCTGACACTGGGTCACCAGGGCAGTGAAGAGTGGCTTGTTAGGTCTTTTGGGGTAATAGATGGTTGGCTGGTAGCCCTAGGAGGAGAGGAAAGGGGTAATTCATGCTCAGGCCCTAGAAACCTTACAGCCTCCCCACAGCCCTCCACATACTCACAAAGAGTTTGAGGTGTCGAGCACAGACCAGGCCATCTCCTCCGTTATTCCCAGGGCCACAGATGATCAGGACAGTAGGGGGGCTCCTGGACATTGACGTGGGAGGATATGCCTGAAAGGCAGAACCAGAGGGGATTCAGAGTAGGTTTGCGCCAAACAGCCCAAGCTCACCCCAACTGTCCCACTCCGTTGGGTTCAGGCCAGGGAGCCAGGGGGAAGAGTTGCACCACCGACCTTGGCAATGGCTGTAGCACAGCTCAGCCCAGCCAGCTCCATGAGTTGGTCCACGCTGAACTGGTACTCCTTAAACAGCTCCTCGTCCACGGCCTGAGCCTCCTCCTGGCTGAGCAAACCCCTCTGCTCAAGGGCCCGGTCTCGCGGGCGGCACAGCGCCCCAAGCCCCGCACCGTGGGGAGAGCCCTCCGCCCGCACGCCCGGCCGGAGCCCCGCCCGCCTACCTCAAGTACTTCACCGGCGCGCTCGCCATGACCTCCGGGTCCCCGCGGCCACGCGAGATCAGCCGCTGCGGCCCCCACCAGGGGAGTCCCGCGCGACAGGCGTTGGCCTGGGATCTGACGCGCGGCAGGCGCGACCCCGCCACCAGCAGCCCAACCCCGAACAGAGACCACAGCCGGGACATCCAGCTCGCGGGGCGCGCCCTCGGCCCTGCCCGCCGCCCCGGCGCATGCGCGGCGCTAAGTCCCGCCCCCGAGCGGCGGGGGAGGGACCACTCGCCGGAAGCGCCTGGAGGCTCCGCCCGCTTAGCTGCGCGCCCAGTTCTTCAAGTTTAGCGTGGCCGTGAGCCCGGGTTCCCGCCCTACCGCTAACTGAGTGAATTTGGACACTCCGAGTTTCAGTTTCCTGTCTGTAAAACGGAGTAAGGTACACACATTTCCTAGGGTGGCAATGCATGCAAAGCGCCGACGGGAGCGGGGACTTAGGACTCAATAAATGAAGCTAGTGCCGAAGCCGGTTTGGCTCAGTGGACAGAGCGTCCGCCTGCGGACTGAAAGGTCCCCGGTTGGATTCCGGCCAAGAGTATCCTGCCTTCCTCCCCAAGCTCCACAGAGCACTATTTTAGCCCTGGGCTACTGATATGGGACAGGAATAGAGTTCTCGATGGATAAAGGCTCTGTTATGGTGGCTTTTGTTATACAATTGGTGAAACTAAACTGCATTCTAATCAAGACACAATAATATACTCCATTTACGTAAGAAAGATTAACAGATGTGTCCCCAGCACCTACTTCTGTGCCTAGCACATACTGGTAGTAGGTCCTCTACAAATATTTATTTATTTTAAATACTTTTTTATTGATTTAGAGTAGGGGTGTCAAACTCAATCAGAGAAGGGGCCAAAATCTAAAATCCAGCCTAAATCGCGGGCCGAATGGTTTACTGAACAGTCATAAACTGTCATTGTGATGGAAACGCAGCGGAGTGCAGTGATGACAGCGCGGTGCGGGCCACATTGCAAGGCCTGGCGGGACGGATTTGGCCCGCGGGCCTTGTGTTTGACACATGTGATTTAGAGAGAGAGAGAAAGAAAGGGAGAGGGATAGTGAAACATCATTAGCTGTCTCCTGCACGTCCCCTACTGGGCATCCAGCCCCGTCGTCCCATGCACCGAGAGGATGCAGATTTGATTCCTACTCACACTCTTGGCTCAGCAATTTATATAATATTTAATTAAATTACAAATTACAGTAACACATACAACCAGCATAAGTACATTTGTTGTCAAGTAAACAATGGCTTAGCTGGGGGAGTGGAACTGCCCAGCATTGCAGGAGAAGGGACTCACTACCTAGGTTAGAATCACGGCTTTTCCGCTTACTGGTCTGACCTGGGAAGACAAACAACTTAGATTTCTTTGCTCTCTATTCCTCACTGTGAAAGGGGGATTCGCTTGTTGTGATTAAAGGAGAAAATAGTTGTGAAGCACTTAGAACCATGTGTGGCATGAGCTAAGTGATTAAAAACCCATATTTAATAGCATTGTTGTGGCTACTGGCAGCCGTTGTCCCACAGGCTACAGATCTCAGGGGCCTGCATCCAGCCTCTGCTATGTTTCATGGAGGAAGTGGAGTGCATTGGTTGGTTAAGCTGCACCTTCTATCCTATATAATAAAAGCCTGATATGCTAAGTATCCAGTCATCTGGTACTCTGTTCAACCAATCAAAGCGTAATATGCTAATGATATGCTAAGGCTGCTCAACCGCTTGCTATGACATGCACTGAACACCAGGGGGAAGATACTCCAATTGATAGGTTAGATTGCTGCTGGGGTCTGGCGATTTGGACTTAGCAAGATGGACCGGACATGCCCTGGAGCTCTCCTACGGTCCCTCCCCAACTGGCCAACCTCCTCTCGTCCCTCCCTAGCCCCAATCGTGCACGGTGGGGAGGGGGGCATCCCTCGGCCTGGCCTGCACCCTCTTGCAATCTGGTACCCATTGAGGGATGTTGGAGAGCCGGTTTCAGCCTGATCCTGCAGGCCAGGCCAAGGGTCCCCACTGGTGCATGAATTCGTGCACCGGGCCTCTAGTAGTTTTATAACCCCACTTCCCATCTGAGAAAATGGAGGTCTGGAGAGTCATTGACTTCAAAGCCTCTTGGTCAAGAAGTTACAGTTTTTAGAACTGGAAAGGGCCTAAGTGATCATGAGGTTTGGATCCAGAAGGAACACTCCATTTCCCTTTTCTTTTTTGCCTGTTGAGTCCAAAACCCCCAGCAAGGAGCGAGCAGCCTCAGTGCTGAGACTGCAAAGCCCTTGGCCAGCCTGCTCGGGAGC